CATTATTCTCCCCCAATTTCTTGGGGTTGAGGAGGCCGAGACGTCATCAGGCAACAAAATTGGCGCCAAACTGGCGAGACGAAATCATTAAAGAAACATGAAGCTAAAATAACAAAATTAATGACGAGTGGGGGAGGCTAGGGAGAAAAGTGGAGCGAAGCAAAATAGCATCCAAGGACAACAGCAACTAGCGCAGCTTCCGCGTTTGAAGGACTCTGGGGTAATGCGGTGTGAAAAATCAATGGGCCTTCAACTCGACACTCCTTCTACACACTCATTTCCCCTATACGCTTGTTCTCGCTCTCTCTCTTCTTTCATTTATCCTGCGTATGCGGAAAATTCTGGGTTACGAGGAGACGAAAAATTGTGGAAAATCGAATACAGAATAAGGAAATGAGGAGCACTTCGTATAGTTATAAACAATATTTAAAAGATAAAACAAGTAGAAAATGTGGACATTTAATACAAAACAAGACCTCAAACATTTGTTTAAACTTTTTCCAAACAAAGTTTTAAAGGCTTAAACAAAAGAAAACCTATGCTTTTATTGTTGCTATTATGATTGTCACGGCTCCCACACACAAACACACACACTGAGAGCCCACCACAAAAAATAAAAGCTAGAGACAAACTAGTTTTTCTTCAAAGCTCAGGCAAACAACTTTTTCAAAACCAAAGAAATCAAATGCAGAAAATAACAACAAAAAGCCAGACAGACAGTCCAGCTTTTTTAATTTTTGTTTTTCTTTTTGAAAGCAGAGCCTACAGCCCACAGCCCACAACCTAAAACCTACAACCAAAATATAAAACTCAAGGGCAGCGGCCTGAGGAATTTACAATTTGCTTCGGGGAAGGGTCGGGTCTGTCGGGCTGTTGATTTAGCTGAACTTTAACCCAATTCAATTGAACTTAACCCCTGACTGTGCTTCATTTCCAGAAAGGCGTGGCAAAAGAGAATACGAAAATAGTTTCGTTTGGGAAAGGAAAACAAAGAAAAAGGGAAAGTAATACCAAGCCATAATCGTATATTTCCCCAGGGGAAAATATGTAACACCGAAAAGAATGATAAATTACTAGGCTTGTTGTTTGATTTGGCTTTTGTTTTCATTATTTCCCGTTTCGAATTAATCATATTTTGTTTGGATGCGTCAGTTGGCTCTGTTAATGGGCAATAGCCAGATGTTTCTAAAAGCAATATTCAAATGAATCCAATTTTTTTTCAGCAAGCACTTGAGCAGGTTCTTGGAAGTGTTGACTAATTGTTGTAAAGATTTAAAATTATGACAAAATGATGCATGGTTCCTGAAATTGTGTGTGACTTAATTTCTTCTTCGTCTTTGCCAACGCCTTACATGCAATGTACAAGCAAAGCAGTAAAGGTTATTCGCTAGAAAACTTTATTTTTTCGTTTCTTTGAATTATTATTATTATTATAACAGCGGTATTTATTCAAACATATGAGTACTATTTTCACCAACATCTGTAGTCTCAATGAAATATGATATTCATTGCTCTTTCACCAGCTGCTTGATAATTTAAAAAGCATCTTTCGGCCTTGGATTTTAGTTTTGAATATTACCAACAACAGACAAATTGTGACCACGCCCACAAAAAAAAAAACAACACCGAAAAAAGAAAATAAATCTGGAGCAACCCAACAACAAAGATTGTCATTAACATCAATGTGCTAGAAAAAAAATTGTAGAAAAAAATAGGCAGGAAAATAAAGCCCAGCAGCATCAGCATCTTCATAATCATCATAATCACTGGATCTAAAAATAACAGCGAACGCATTGCGTTATGCATTTGCAACAACAAAAACGGCTACACCAACGCAACTCAGTAAAAAAGAAAAAAAAAATTAGGAGCACTGAAAACAAATTAGTCGTGGCTATTAATCTGTCGACCAGAGGAAACAAGTATAAGTTATGTATGGGCAGAAGGAGGCACATCTCTGACTCCATAAAGTGTGTATATTCTTGATCAACATCAATAGGCGATTCCAAATCAGTATACATTTAGTTAAAATATAAATTATTAAACTTAAATATATTATAATATGAAAGTGTACTTCAAATTGCCTATCAATATATTCATTTTCCAAGAAACATTTGCCTAGCAAATCTCTAGTGCATTCTGCCAAGTTAGATTTAAGATTTTATAAATAACAGCTTAAATAAACTTTGAAAATGCTATTCATGATTTAAATTAAATATTTAAAAAAGGCAACAGCAAAATATGCATTTTATTTCAGTGCAATAGCACTAAAGTATCATCAGAGACGGAAAAAGAGCAGCGACGTCAGCCAATGACAACAATAAAAGTATGTCACACTGAATCACAGAGCCGTATAGATAGATGGATATAGATAGAATGCACACAGAGAACACGTCACATAGAAATAAATTAGAATAGAAGTATAAATAGAAGAGAATTCTCGTATAATGCAAATATGGCCTAAATACAGACCAAACACTTGACTAATAAACTTGAACTTCTTTGACAGTTTTAATTATAATTCATATTTCAAGGAACAAAATAAACCTTTTGTGTATCAGTGTAATTGAAACCCACCCAATCCAACGGCGAGCATAATCAAATGGTTATGAATACAAAAAATATACATATAGAAAGAAATGTCAGTAATTTGGCTTATTACCTGCCTGCCTGTGATAAAATATGAAAATTGGCCAGCAATTTCCGTTCGTTTTGAAATATTTTCTGTGTATAAAAAAGTGCAATTATTTATCATTAAATTGGTATTACATTGCAAAGTGGGCACAGACTTTCGAATGACTATACTTTGTATTATGTGCACAGACTTTTCATTACAATTGTAATTCATAATTCTTCATAATATCAAGTATATATCTTCTTTCAATATTAAAATCTGCCTGCCAGATGGCGTCAAGCCCAGTCAAGAGCGAGACTTACCATCATCCACTTGGGACTTCTTGGACTTGAAACTTGATGAATGTTTGGGCACCAAAACTGTCCCGTAATATTACGTAATGCACATTTAGCTGGCATAGTTCTTCTGTTCTTTTTTTTTTTTTAACCCTCCAAACTATTTTTCTCTTTTTTTTTTAATATTCTCAACGTGCTTGACCATCCGGTCAAACTGGTTTTCAGATATTACCTCTTTATTTTTCTAACACTGTACCTGTTCGTACAAATGAACCACTTGCTGGGAGAGCTAGAGAGAGAGGGCTACGGTGGGTAACAGAGACAGGAAGGTAAAGAGGGAGCAGGAGAGAGAGAGAGAGAGAGAGAGGGAGAGACAGAGCGGGCCGAAAGAAAAGCGCACACATTTCCCACTATTAACCCATTTTAGTTTTGGTACGTGTAAAAATAAACAACACACAATTTTCTCATTCCTTGGGTGTGGGTATTTTCTATTTTCTTTATTTTTTTACAATTTTTTTTTTTTATTGTCTGGCATTTGGCCATCTGTTGCTGTTCTGTCGGCGGCGCTGCTGCCTGCACATGTTCCTAATTGTTGTTGTTGCCAATTTGTTATTGCACAGTAAATTTACTGTAAATGCAGTAAGGCATTGAAGGTTTACAATATATTGTCAGAGGTTTCGAAATTGAATTTTTTAATAAACATAACTTAATCCCTTTATATTATAATATAACAGTAAAGGGTTTATAATTTTTCTTTAAAAATCTGCTAAAAATTCAAAATTTCCATACATTTTCCAAGCGTTAAATTTGCCAAATGTCATTACTAGTCACCGAAAAAAGAACTAAAAAAGCCAAATAAAATATTAAAAAATATAAAAACAAATTTGTATATTATTTACAAATATTATTAATTCCCTAATTCAGTTATTTGGTCTAAAAACAAGAGGAAATTTTATCTTTCCTATGTATATTTGTATACATCTCCTTTTTGTTCAATAGAATATATTTTACAAACTTTTATGAATTTAGAAATATTTTATTTTATTTTTCTGACGGCACGTCACGCTTTTTTGCTCTTTTAGCCGCCCCATCTCCGATTCCTCAACAATGAGGTCATCACTACCACCACCAGGCCAGCCAGCCAGCCAGCCCTCACTAATCCCATAATTTTTGTTCAACTTTAAATTCCGCATTTTTCAAGCGAATCAGAATTATGACTCAATCCGAATGCAATGGACCCAAGTACACGCTCTACTAAAAGGTAATCAAATAGTGAATAAAACAAACGAAACGAAACGTGTTTTCTTCGTGTTTAGGAAACAGGTTCAAATGGGTCTTAAAACAAAGAGTAAAATATAAAAACAAGGTCTGTGAATTACTCACAAGAAGACGATGACATGACTTCCTCAACGAGTTCTGCATCAGCACAAAAATAAAACAATAAGAAAGGGAGACGAGGAGCAAAAGCCAAATCATATTTCAAAATACATTTCGAAATGTATTTTTGGTAAATTTTGGGGACAAAAATAGCTCAACAAAAAAGCAAACAGGAAAACATAGCTTTGTTTTTGCTAGACCGAATGCTAAATACTCTTTAAATTAAAAACTTGACTAAGAAAAGGGGAACATGGCCCAAGAATTATTATTAAATCATTAAAAATATTATTAATATTAATTAATAATTAACCCATTAGCTCTGCTCCTGAGAAAACCAAAACAATCCATTTCAAAGGGCCGACTATATAGACTATATCAAGTTCCCTTTAAACGGACTGCCTGCTGTTTGCTAATAAATTAAAAATACTTGTAATCACCCAAAATATTTCGTAAAAAAAAGAAAGAAAGAAAAAAAACAACTAGACCAAGTCAACAAGGCCATAAGAAATAAACAAAAAAAAAGTGTGTCTGGTAGGGGAAATATTTTTTCCGCAGCATGAAGACTGCTTAAATTTGATTTATGGGAATTAAAAGAGAGGGCGCACATAAACGTACTATATATGTAGATATCAAAAGATATCTAGTAGAATCTTTCCAAATTGCCTGCAGATTTCTTCGAGATATACAAAATAGTTTTTATAAAATTTTTAACTTACTCTGGCTCTGGTTGTCCATCGGCTTCGCATTCGATAATGAATGGATTGTCGCTCTCCTTACTTTGTTGCGCCACTTTGAAGAGCAGTTCCCCAGGTGCGGGTTGCTTGGTGATTCTTGGTGGGGAGTTGGCTAAAGATATAGAAAGTAAAGATATAGCAAGAAAATTTATAGAGGGGAAGAGATCGATGAGCACTGTGGGACGCTTGCACACACTAATTGATCGCATAAATTAGATTTTGATTATTTTTAGATTTTTACCAAAATTGTTGACTAATTTCAAAGCTGAAACAAAAAGTGGAAAAGTGGAAAAAGTCTCCTGAATTTATATACTCAATGGGATTTTCCTTTTTGGAAAAAATCTCAAGTGATCTATGATCAATTTAGATGAGTTTCTTTTTCGGTTCTATTTGAGGCCAATGTGCACCTGAAGAGCTGGCTATATAAAGTAATCCCAAGTGAGTTATGGAAATGAAGTCTCCCCTTTGTATTTATTGGCTCAATTTCCAGAGCTTACCAAGGAATTTACACTAAAAGCTATATTTATGAGGGTTTTATATTAAGATTGCTCAATTAGTTTTACTTTAAGCCTCAATTAATTATAAAAAATATTTTAAATAATACAAATTCTACTTTATATTACTTTCATTACATATTTTTCATAAAATATTTTAAAGCTTATGTTGAAATAGTTAACTTTGCTATTGATTTAGTCAACTTTTTGCTTATATATAAACAGGTAAACTGTTTTTAATTTTTCATAATATTTTAAATTTATTTACTTTAAAATTGAAATACACTCACGTCTTGACGTTGCACATGCACTGCCCAGAATGGCAGCCACTAGTAACGCGGCCAGCATCGTTGACTGCCGCCACATCTTGGTCGTTTGGCTCCTTGTTTCGGTTTTACTTTTATATATATCTATATATATTTATATTATTAGGAATGTGGAATGTGTATGTCTGTCTGTCTGCCGTTCCTCGGGTGGTGACTCTTAAATATCAAACAATTTTCCCACTAATGAAAATTGCATGCGAGCCGAGCTTTTATTACTTTCCGCCGTTGCACTGCAAATAAGATTATTACAACGATGATAATGGCGTCTGCAAGTTTACACTTTTCAATTGCGACGACGAAGACGACGACGACGACAGTAAAAGTTTAGCACGGTCTCTTGTCTGGAAAGAAAATGGGGAAAAAGAGCTGGTGAGTAATGCGATTATTTAAGAAAGTATTCCCTTAATGACTACCAGATGTCTCATCAAAAGCGCTTCTTTGTCTACGGTAGAAGAACCATTGCTGTTCTTTATACAAATTTTATTATAGAGCAGCAGCTGCAGCACGTTAAAATTAAGTTAATGTGCCAATTTTATTATTTATTTACACATACGTTCAATGTTTTTGAATTCAACTGAATGTCAAGAATACTTTTTGTAATGATTTCAATGGGTGTAAGTACGTGTTTTGCATATCGGTTATTGGTTTACAAGAATATATCTTGGGTAATAAAAAGATTTCTAGTGCAGCTTTCTACAGGTTAACTTAAAAAGAAGGTCGAAATAGTACTCCATGTTTAAGTGGCCAAAATTGTTATGAAGAGTTCCCTAAAAATGCTCAAGTTTAAATTCTGCGGCAAGCTTTAATAAAAAAGAATGCCCTTAGAATTCCCAAGTCTAAGTTCTGCGGCAAGCTATTATGAAGAAGAGTGCCCTAAGAATTCCCAAGTCTAAAGTCTGCGACACGCTAGTATGAAGGAGAGTGCTCTTACAGTTTTCAAGTGCCTAAAAATCAAACCTAGAGTCATCAAAAATGCTCATTTACTTAGCAATATATATTTTTAATCGTTTAAACAAGACTTAAAGCTTTGATTAACCTAGGAATTTCATAGTTTTTCTTAATCCAAATGAAAAACCACATATTAGGGCACCCCTTTTAAGCCAGATGAGACCACAACATGCACCATTTTCCACCTGCTTAGACAATTTTCCACACAAAAACCCCACACCTTTCGTTTTTTGTTGCCTTGACCAGAGACCCTCACAAATTCGATATCGAATGTTTTGCCTTTTCATTTCGAATCACAAACCACACAAAAGAGCGAGAAAAAAAAAAGAAAACACTACAAAAAAAAGACGAGCAAACACGAAACAAACCGAGAGAATCGATTATTGTAAATTTATTACTTTTGCGACGATATTCGCCTTGGGACAGTGTAGAAACACAACAGAGCTGAATGCAGGCAGCATGGAGAACCAAAGCCAGAAACACAAAGCACAGAAAGCGTCAATGAATCAATTGCATACATATATTTGCATAGGTACAACCCATATATAGAATGGCCGTAACGTCATAGACCTGGTTAGAAAATGTGCCAGGGCAGTTAGCGGTTTGAAGAGGAAGCTGAAGAACAGTGCAGATGGAATGATGGAAAAACAAAGGGGAATCCATATGCGTTTCATTTATGAAATACCATTTACAGCCGGTTAAAAAATATAATTAAATATTTGTATTATGATTGTTGTAATGTTTTCCTCACTTTTCACTTATTTTTAAAATGTTTGTGATGTCTAGTTAGGATAAAAATGTTGATATCTATAAGGAAATCATGTTTAAAAGTAGTTTCCATATTAACAAACGTTATTTAGTAACAAAACACCATAGATTTTCTTTAATTTCCCATTGATTAATGTATTATTTATGATACATTTCGGTTAGAATACCCAGAAAATACCCAGCATTCGAATTTCGAACCAAAACAAAGCAAAAGGGTTGGAAAAGCCCCCGTGTGCTAATTGAATTAGCGTTTTTCCATTGACAGGTGCCAGTGCCGTTGGCATAGCCCGTGTTTTTCAGCTCGATTCTCCGTCGGAGCCCCTTTCAAATTGGCTAAAATGCTGAACTGCAACGGACGTTCCCCCGAGTTGCATTCATCGGTTACGGTTACGGTTTCGGGTTTGGTTTCTTTTTCGAGTTTGATCTGCTCATATTTATTATCATCGGGTATGCGATGAGCCACCAGCCTCAGCAGCAGCAGTTTCTTCACTACCATCACCACGTCCATCACCAGGTGCAGTCGGAGACGCAAATGGATCGTCGGAACTCTGATTTGGATTTGGAAAGGAATCGGGCGGAGAGGGATCACCAAAACCGTAACAGGACTACAGATCGCGGTGGTGGCGGTGGCGTCTCCATGGATTTGAGGAATCTATGCCAGCGCATTGATGTGGATAGTTTAAGGGGTGAGTGAGTGAGGAGCTACCTTAATAACCTTCCTTAATTATTTCCTTGTTCCTTCTTTGGTAATTATTTTTCACCCTTAGCCAAATTGCCCTCGCTGCCGCAATTGAAGTTGCCCAAATCCCTGCCCAAGTTGCGGGGTCGCAAGATTTTCCGCAGCTCGAAAAGTGGAGCCACTGCAGGGGAAGCTGGAGCAACAACAGGAGTTGCAGGGTCTAGCAAGGATGGAGGACAGCCGCAGCAACTGCTCCAGGTGGCAGCACAGTCGCAGCAGTTCATCAACAGGACACCGCAAAGGATATCGACCATTAGTTCCCTGATGTATGAGGGCGATCACGAAGAGATGAGGCAGTCCCAGCAGCAGCAGCCAGGAACATATCGCAGTGCTGGCAGCCTGGATGATGACTACTATGCTCCCAGCAACGGAGACAGGGCCTCGCGACCCATTAGTCCCATTAAGATACCAACGGCCGGTGGAGCGGATGGTTCTCCATCGGGAACAGGCCACGCCACACTGACCCAGCGACTGCAGAGGGGCTACAGGAGCCTCAGCGAGCTCCGGCTGAAGCACATATTTGCCAAGCAGATCACGGTGAGGAGGGACAACATCGAGGTGGACCGCTATGTGGAGCAGTACGAGCGGGAACTGAAGTCGGAGAAGCGGGCCCAGGCACGTCGGGATCGGGAGATAGCCGAGAACTATGATATCAAGGTGCAGACCCTGGTGGCCACCCGACAAAACACCTTCGAGGACGACGAGGTGGAGCACGAACAGTTCGAGAAGAGCAAGATCAGCCATGAGACCGACGAGAGTGGCATGGAGGCGACACCACCGCTGCCAACGCGAAGAAAACCAGGCATAGCTGCCACCAGATTCGCCAAGGTGCGCAAGCCCCCCTTGGAAATGGAGGAGCAGATGTCGTCCAAGGAGGAGGAGAATCAACAGGAGACCCCCCCACCACCTCCGCCACAACGTCCCAGCAGCTACAAGCAGCAACTGCTCAACAAGCTGCCCAATCTTCCAAGTCTGCCTAATCTTTCACAGCTCTCAAAGTCCAAGGAGGAGCGATCCAACGGCCAGGAGAATACATCAGGCTCCAAGAGTGGCCTAAGGCAAAACATCAAGAGACTTAGGAAGTCCATAAAGCGTCCGGCCAAGGTAAAGCCCAAGGCTAAGGCCGATTCAGATGAAGAAGAGGAGGTGGAGACGGACAAGGACAAGCCCAGTGATCCGCCTGCCAAAAGCTCATCCACAAACCTCAGAGCCCGTATCAGTCGTTTTGCTTCCACAGAACAACTTCAGCAGCGCTGGAGAAAGAGCTTCAAGGGCGGCGGTTCCAAGGTGAACCGAGAGGCAGCTGATAAGATAGACCATGCAGATCCCGCTCCAGGAGTGGCACCAACAACTGGAGTTCTGGGCGGCCTGCTCCTGGGCTCTCAGTTGGAGAAAACCCTGGCCAAGCTTAACGAGAAGATGCACCAGCTCAAGTTTTTTCAGCGCTACTCCAATCGAAACCAAGAGCCGGCGCAGCCAAAACCCAACACGGTGGGCCACGAGCCCGTTGAGATCGATGACGACGAGGAACTGGCGGCCACCTACCATCACAGCGATAGCGATGAAGATGAGGATGGGGACGGGGACAGCGGCGAGGATATATCCGCTGAGGAGGCCTTCGGCAAGATCCAAGAAGAAGAAGATCGCTATCAGAATTCACAGGATAATTCGAGGCGGGGCTCGTCATCCCTATCAGGAGCTGCGCCCGCCCACGCTGCTCGCCAGATGGCGAAGCTGGCTGAGATTCAGGCGGCGTCGAAGAGCGGGGCAGCGGCCTGGAGCAGCGAATCGCTGGAAGAGATCGCCGACGAGGACTATCCGCGAGTACTCATCCACCAGGAGCACTCCGATGCCTTTGAGTCCACGCTGATCATAGCGGTGGCCTCGAAGGGTTCCGTTTCCGTTTCGCCGGGTGTCAGGAGTTCAGGCTCCCAGACCTCTGGTTATCCGGTCTATCCAGTTATCAAGTGCAGTTCCCCTTGCCCTCAAAATGCTTCTTCTGGAGGCGTCACCCATCCTGCTTTCAACAGATCACCCTCTGGCTATCCAGAGGTTAAGCGTTCAGATGCCGGAGTTAAGAGCTCTCCATCGCCTGAGTTCAAGACTCCCGCTGCCAAGACCCCTGATGCCAGTGCCTGGTTGCCCAATGAACAAATCATCGCTGGGTTCAAGGACCAAAGCAACTCCTCCTGGCCAGCCCCCGCCTTGTATAAGCCCAAGTCAATCGATATATTCGAGGCTGGTAGCGGAGGATCTTCGGCATTCGCCGACTTCGATGAGGCCCTGCGAAATGCTCCGGTTCTGAGGATCAGTGCCGGCAGCAGCTGCGATACCAGCGGCGAGGAGGCGGACGACAGCAGCTCCCGGGTAACGAGGATACGCGTCCAGAGTCCTCAGATAGGGAACAGCAGGGAGAGCCTTATGGCCCAGGAGGAGGAGGATGAAGAGGCGGATATGGAAATGGAAATGGAAATGGAGGGGGTTTTGGACCTGGATCTGGATCTGGAGAGGGACTCCTCGGAACGGCCACCTTCGGCATCGCCGCCACCACCACCTTTGCCGCAACGACGTCCGCCGCCACCCAGGATTCCCGCCACGCCACCAATTTACGATGCCGTGCCACCGCCATTGCCCGTCAGCAAGCCTCCTATTCCGGACAAGGCCCCAACTACCAGTGCTTGTGTTAAGAGTCCTACTCCCCCAGTTACAAGGGAAAACCCCCCGGTTAGCAAGGAAAATCCTCCACTTGGCAGGGGCATCCCGCAAAGGAGCGCCTCAATGTCGCGACCCGCCAAGCCTCTGGTCAAAACCAGTTCTTTGAGACTCACCTACAACGAACAGGTGCGACCAGGTGACGTTGGCAAGGTCAATAAGCTGATCTCACGCTTCGAGGGCGGCAGGCCACGCCTCTGTCCCCGGAGGATGCACAGCGAGGAGTACGAACGGGGGCGGGAAGAGGACGAAGAGGAGGAGGATGCGGAGCCAATGTTGGAACTAAAGAACTTCCAAAACAGAGCTGTTGACTCGGTGACACCCACAAATCGAGGTGTGATAATACCACAAATCACAGTCAATAACAACAACGAGAAGGCAAACGAAGAAGGACTTGAGGAGGATGAGATTGCCAAGAGCCGGAAAAAGAAAAGGGAATCCATGGAACTAGCTTTGGACCGCCAGAACTCGAACTGCAGCCGATCGGAGTACGGATCGCCATTATCCTTTCCAAGCAGCCGTCGAAGTTCTACGCCCACGAATCTGAGTTCCAATCCCAATCCCCATCCCATTCTAAATCCCAATGCTAATCCAATTCAAAATCCCGTCCAGATCCTGCAACAGCAGCGACGCAGCCGCAGATCGATGACCCGCGATGATGACAACTTTTATAGCTTCGATAGTGACGAAGGTGAGTGTCTGCATTTATGGTATGAGGTATTTATTATTAATAGAATTTCGATATTTAGCGACATTTCTTATGAAAAGATTGATATTTATCGAAGTGTTCTATATCGATTTCAGAGAACAGCTACTACTCTATAAGTCCCTCGGGAAGCAGCCGCTATGTGGTGGAGATATAATCGAAAAACTAATAATAAGTCCAAAATTCTAGAGTACTTTTAACACAAATGTTAACACTTGGCCTGCATGAGTTTTGTAAATAAGATGTGATCTTCTTTCTCCAAACGATATTTCTATCTAAACCCGATAGTTTGTTCAGGAACCATCACAACATATTATGAAATGCAACAACAATTGAAGCATATATTCGATTTTACAACAACAAATGCATAATACAAAAGGAAGGTCGCATCTTATTTGCAAGTTTGTGTAATTGATCGGTATTAATAATTGAAATACAAAAACAAATAAATAAAAAAAAAAACTATAACTATTTTAGAAACAACTTCAAATGTTACAAATCCAAAAATAGCAATATAAGGAACATTACAAAGCCATTTTAATAATCAAATTATGTGGAATTTGCATATGAAGATCAAAATGTAACAAAAAAAACTATACAACAAAATCAATGTTAAATAAATGCAAAACACATTTTCTTTTTTTTTTCTAGCCTAAGCTGTTATTTAAAAATAAAGTACAACTATATAAAATAGCGATATAATTATCGTGTATATAAAAAAAACAACTTCTGATTCAGTCTTTAATTAGTAAAAAAAAAAATTATTTTACGTTCAGTCTAGCGGAGATCGAGTCCAGCACGAGTTTGTTTCTGGGGGGTTCGGAAGGAAGTTGATTAATGGCGCTAAAGTGCATCGGGGGATGAAAGGCAGATATAGGTGCCAGCTGACACCCTGCCTTGCCTGCCCGAGGCACCACCATATAGTATCTATGATATATGCGCGGTGGTTGCAGCGATCCTGCCAAACCGAAACCGAAAATATATACTTCCCCTATCGTGGAATCGCTGACTGAGCGCATTTTAATTGATAATTTATGCTAATTAATTAATTTAAGTAAGTCCCCAGTCAAGGGTTGGAACGCAACATATGGCGGCTATAAGGATAATGCAGCATGGCCTTTTTGATAGCCGTAAAATGGGAAAGATCAGGAAAATATACCTAAATTAAAGAACAGCTGTTGGGGTGTGACTCTATAGAATACTTTATTTAAAGAAACTCTACCTTAAAGTTAGATTACACAATTTCCACTTGAAGATTTTCCTGCCTTTTCAAATTGCTGTTTGCCTTTTTTGAGTTTGATTATCCTTGTCCTTGGCCCTTTGATTTCACTGCAGTGCAGTCCCAGAACCTTGTACATACGTGTGTGCCGTGCCTTCCTCACCCATACAAATGTATATGGAGCTTAGTCATTTTCCTGGTGCCTGCTGCTGCTGATTCATTAGTCGGCTTAGAAAGCTCTTCCTCTTGCCTTTGCATTTCCCATTCCCCCATTTCCCACTTTCGCTTCCATTTAAAACAAAAAAAAAAAATAAAAAAAAAAACAAAAAAAGAAGCGAGTAAGTGAGTGATTGAATGACTCTTGTGGGGCCATTGCGGGGCCTTTAATCAGAGCAAATTAATAAGCACATACAATGTGCCCCAGTGTCACTCCCCCTCCCGTATATTTGATTAATTAAACTTTGCTTGTGGTGACTAATTTTCCTTTGCCTCGGGAAAGTCTCTTTTTTATTGGCACACACTGCTCGCACTTTCCTAGACCTGCTTTCCTCGCCCTCATGCAAGCGCATTAAATGCCAATAAATTTTGTAAATTGCCGGGAATATATCGTCAGGGGTTTTACTTATTGCTACCAGCAGCATTTTCTCTCATTTCGAAACTGTTGACTTTCGGTGGGCAATTAAAAGCGGAAGTTCCTCGGTAGTCCAGAGTCCGAAAAGTAAATAAGTGCGAAATTGACGTTTAGGTTTAGGTAGCGCGGGGACAAACAGGAAAATCCGGCAAAAGGATCCTATATACATGCATACGTATATCCAGTTTTTCACCCCTCCAGGAAAAACAGCTGCAAGCACAGTTATTTGACACGCGACCAAACACCAATGCCAAAGTATCTACAATGTTGCAAACACCCCCGATGTGATCCAAAAATCCACCCCAATCGATGCGGATGAAATGAATTCCTTTTCTTTCCTTTATTATTTCTCTTTTATTTGTGTGTGTTTTTTTTTTCTGGTCCCTAAAAGTATGTGTGGTCAGCCTGGGAAATGGATTAAACGAATGAGTGACTAACGACTGACCAAATGTCGGGGCTTGAATATGAATCAATTGGAGAAGAAATTTTCTTTAAGAAGTGTGTGATATTCTAGATATATGTATATTTAATTTATTTTAAAATTAAGAGGTTAATTTGGATTTCTTTTTATATTTAAAAACACTAGGGTCACAAAAAGTCATAAATAAGCATAAAGATTATTTAACACATAAATATATTTCAAATGTGTTTGATAATAAATTAACATTAACACCTTTTTATCTTAAAGTTTAGAGTTAATATGTATGGCTTCCTTAATATATTCTCTGATCATTTTCCACTCAAAAACCCAAATAAAGGACAACTTTTAACCCACTAAAAATAAAAACTTTGCCATAATCAATCAATCAAACAAATTTTCCACTCAAGGATGAGGGCGGAAAAACTCAAAGGAAGTGAGTGAGGCAGGCAGGCAGGCGCAAAACTTTTTACCAGAAAATCGGGGGGGGAAAAATCGCCGAGTTTTCCACTGGGAGTTGCTGTCAGGTTTCCGGACCACAGACGAGAGAAGTTCAATGCTCCTCTGGCGGTGGCAACTCCACTCCAACTCCACACCACTCACACCGGCAACATAATGCAATTTATGAAACGGGAGCTCAACTATCCAACCAACCAACGGACAGACAGACCCACCGACCTCCCCGTAATATTACCACATTTAAAGCGAACCAACTAACGCACTAAACGGAAGTTTTAGCTAGCGAGTGTGTTATAGAAAATAGAAAACTGTAACACAAAGAGTTGAAGCTCCAGCTGAATATTCATCAACCTAATGGGTGTCTTTACAACTCCCCAAGGTTGAACAGTGAACAATGAACAGCAGTGGAACATATCAAGCCATGTTTTAGCACTATGAAAAGCATATACTACACTATATATATATTATATATAAATACAAGAATCATAAATGGGTCATAAGTAAATACAAATAAAAATAAGTGGAAAGCCTTTTCTTCGATCATGACTAGGGAAATCGTGTGGACACACCCTATAGGTTAGAATTTCAAAATTAAATAACTTGCAGCAATTGTCCAAAAAACGAATTTCCCACAAACAAAAATTGAAGAATAAATAAGAAGAGAGAACTAAAGAGGGGCTCTGTCTCCAAGCTGACTAACATTTATTTTTTCTGACTGGGTGTGCCCTCATCATACCTGACAAAAAACACATGGAGAATCAAGATATAAGCTGGCATTGCTTTTGAGTCACCATTCATCCATCCAGTGGGTCTCCGGCAAAAGCTTCGAGCCCCGACAAAGCTTTATTTGCTATTTGTTTATCGCAGAACCAATTAAATTGGTCACTTGGCAAAAAAATAAATACCGATAAAGGATCGTTGTGCCAGAGGGGCAATATGAAACTTGATCGTTTTGACGATCTTTATCTTTTGATGGGGACTTGTGTAAACAGAAATAAGTAAAAAATTGTACAATTTTTATTATATATATTTTTTGTGTGTTTAAGCACTTATGGTGGAAGTTCATTGATTGATCAATTAAATTGCACTCAGAGAAAAAATTAATTCAGTATTTTGTGATGTTGTAAACAAAAGCGAAAACTATAAGAGTATTAAAAACTTCGGTAGCCTAAAAATGTATAGTTTTAGTTTTGGTTTTGCTTTCGCACACATTTAACCCAAATGACAAGAGTGCCCAAGTAGCCCCATTGGGCAAGAAAAACGGAAAATGGAAAAAGAAGTTAGAGCTGCAAAAAAAGAACTAAAATATATAGAGAGGGAGGAATGCAAATTGCAGGCGGTCGCCACTCCTGTGTCTGCCTCCAGTCAGCCTTTTCTCTTATTTTTTTTTTTTTTTGTTGTCTGTTGGCAACTGTGCCACATGGGGTTTTCTCTGGCGTCTAACCCCCGCCGGTTTTTCCTATTCCCCCCTCCCCGCTCGATTTGCCAACCCGAAAACACTTAAAAGTGCAATGCACTCAACGGTACTCGCACCTAGGAGCCTAGCCGCAAAACGGATGATAAAACAAGCGAAACTAACAAATGCACAGTGCAAAAAGTTCTAAGCAAATTGCAAAATGTTTAAAATATCATATATAATAAATAAGTAAATGTTGTATTGTTAAAATAGTAAAATATTTGGTTAGTATTTATTAACTATTATAGTATCAATAAGATATATTTTTCCCCAAATCACACACAAAAAAATGTAGGATAAATGTAATTTTAGGGTTTAAAATTATTTAAAATTTTATATTCTATTATTACATTTTCTAGAATGATTACAAGATTTAGGTTGTTCCTTTGCAATATTAAATTAAATTAATATTATAGAATCTAATACACAATTTTAAGAAACTTTGAAAATATTCAAATAGTTTTAGCTAAAAAAATATTGTAATAAAAAACCTATTTATTGGACTATTAATTTTTTAATTAAATTTAGTTTTTCTCAGTTTAAAAGCAAGGCAGCTCAGCAAAAAAGCTAAATATAGGGAAAACAACAAAAGATCTAAGCGTGGCAACCGCGAAAACCGCGAACCGGCATCGAGTCCCCTTAACCCACAACAAAACCTCCCTCTTAACCCTCTGCATACACTTTTTGCCGGCACTGTATAAGGCACACATTGTGGCAGTTATAGAGGTGGAACACAAAACAAAAAGGTTAAAAGGAAGTTTGTTGACTAATTAGCATAGAGATATATTTGTATTTTTACAAGTAATGTTTTTACTTTAAGATTTTTAAAAACATACAATTTTTATATGCCGATTTAAACAGATAAAAACTAGCACAGAAAAAGCTTTTCAAATTGAAAATAATTTAATTGAATTTTGTAATATTTTAATTTTTCTTATCATCCTTATTCCCCGATGCCCATTAATAATCCATTGGGAATTGATTTCTTAAAACGTGAATTATGTTCGGTTTGGCTATCCCGTAGGGTGCTATATAAAAATACATTTAACATATTTCGTTTCAATGGGGAAATCTAGACTTCCTGTCTAACGTGTCTCAAGGGATTTGGATTTATAAACATTGGACGCAGAAATAGGCAAATTTTGGAGCTATCAAAACGAATAGCAAAGGAAGTGGAGTGGCATGAATATTATCGCTGAGAGAGAAGGCACGAAGGAACGAACGAACCAAATTGGAGGCAATGAATGATGACATCAGCAGGCCTTGTTTTTGGTTTTTTTTTTTTCAGCCAGCGTGTGTTTTGTTTGTTTGTGGAACAGAAAAAGAAAAAACTGAATATTTCCTGGCTTACTATTGATTTTTTTCTCTCGTTTTTCGGCTTGCCGGCGAAACGGGGAAAATAAGTAAAAATAAAGGATTTCGGCCTGTGCGACATGCAACATCAAAAATGACATCATAAAAGGATTTTTTCGTGGCCAACAAAATTGGATTAAAAATCGCACAAAGAGCGGCAAAGTGGCCAGTAAAGTAACAAAGAGAAGAGAGAAAATGACGCAATCGCCAGCTGTTTGAGAGATGAACAAAAAAAAAAAAAAGACTACAAAATGTGATCCAAAAATCCACATGGTAAAGCTTCCAAAAAGATACAGACCACGATGATATCAATATACATAAGCGCACGCACACGCATAAATTTATAGGTATATATTTACCCAATTGGAATACACAAATATCTGCTCTGTCTGCGTTGCGTATTTTTAATTCTTCGAGTTTTTGGGCGTTCCATTTTAATTATAACAAATGTAGGCAATTGCAAGCCAAACCAAGAGCCGAAAGAATGAAATAACAACATACATAAATCTCTTAGATTGCGAGCGAGATAGAGAGAGAAAAGGGGTCAAAAGATATCGATGATATCATAATATTCAGGCAGCAGCCATCAAAAACGACAAACGCCTTGGATGGAAATATGTATGGTACATAGGTTGACAGTCTCAGAAATGTGAATCCAGAATTGATATCAGCAAATTACAAAAGCCCCGGGAAAAAATTTGATAAATGAAAGTTTCAAGAGCAATTTAATTACACACGGGGGAATCACTCAAGATCAATGTCAATCGTCAAAAAAAAACGGGGGTATTTCGGGCATTACGAATTTTACGATAAGAAAAATATATTTAAAATATTATGAAAAATATACAAATTTCTTAGATTGACACACTTTAAAATAACAGATTATTTCATTAAGTATTTTTGTGGTTTTGAGGTTCTTTTGTTTTATCTTAAACTCTCAGTTTTTAAGCAAAAATGTGACTTTATAAAACTCGATACATCAGTTTCGCGAACATCAATGTTTCTCCACCTCTATTAGAGATCGCACATCTGGTAAGCATTCCCAGCTATGTTATCGATGACAAAATGCAAGTCGTATTTAATAGTTTTCCCACACATAGAGAGACATAGAGAAAGAGAGGCCTGTGAAGTGACAATAACTAATAGGTGAAGCATGACCAAAAAAGTGACTCTTCCATCAGCTTTTGCCCCTGAGTGTGATTCTCTATGTCATTCTCTCCTCAATTAATGAACTGCTTTAATTATGCTTGACGGTACCCCTCGTTCGTCACCTAAATTAGAGAAGATATAGGGGTTGGCCTGGCTTCCCCATCGATAAAACCTCAATGTTCAATGCGATCATTCAAGTTCTTAGCTTATCGCACATTCAATTGAAGGCTGTCTCAATGAAAACGATCCCCATTTATGGGGGTCATCCTCATGCTGCTGCTACTGCAAAGGAAATGAGTGACTCTAGGCTTGATAATTTTGCAATAATATTTAAACATGATGCAATATATAAAGACACCTGCACAGAAAATCTTAAAAATATATATTTTAAAGCATTCGTATCAAGCTCAAAGAAATATTCATTAAATATGTAAATAATTAGACTGTGACATCATCAACCTTTGCGCAAACACTGCGATTGCATTATCAGTGCAACTTTGCTTTGTTTAATATATTCAAATGGGCTTTTTTAAATTCGTTTTTATACTTTGCTTTGATTATAGTTGCTTTTGTTTGTAAATATATTTTCGGCAAGCAGATAATGTTTATTCGTATGCAGAAATCGCGTACTCGTAAGAATATAAGAATAATCTCATAAATATGTGATGTTATAATTCCCAACTATGTAGTTCCAAAGCTACGTATGGGCCAGATAAAAGTTTTAAATTTTTAAATAGTATATTTAGCTTTGAAACGGCTTTATATCTTTGTCAATACTTTTCAATGTTTGTATTTGAACCTAAATGTTAATGTTTTATTTTTTAGTATATAAGAAGTTTAACAATTACGACTTTCAATATGTTACTTTATTTTCCAAGTCACTTATAAAGTGCTTTTGTTGCTTCATCTTAATAATTAAGCAACAATCTAGGCTTTCGGTCAAGTTATGCTACTTTCGTAGCCGCCCCACTCCCCTTATTTTCCACCCCCTTTCTGGGCCAGCAACAAACGGCATTCATTAACAAACTGGCAGGCTAATTTTTTGTATTGCTGCCGCTGCTTCTGTTACTGCTGTAGCTGTTGTTATTTATTTATTTATTTTTTTTGTTTTTGGGTCGACTGGGCGGAGGCATCGTCGTAGCAGTCGACGTTGTTGCTGGGCCGTAACGGGTGCTTGTATTAACAATATGATGACGTAGGCGCTGTGATGACCGCATGGTCAACATATAAACAACCACACGAACAGCAGAGAAACTACAGTTCAGCTTAGGTAAGACGAACAATTGGAGAAAAGCTCGTTTGCCATGGGAAGGTTGGCAATATATGGCCATATTTTCAAGGATTTGTAAGCCTAGATCATCTGATTCGGCTTCAGATACTTGTTTTATCTTTTGGTTTTTAATGTATCTCTTGATTTTCTTAAAGATATTATAGTTTGATCAGAGATCCCTATAGACCACAGTCTACGTAGAGACGATGAGCATCCAGAAAATGGGGCGCAGGGAAACTACTTTTATATCTTTCTGATGAGAACCGTTTATATATTGATGGAAAGGTATTGTTAAGATCTTTAAAACTGTATCCTAAGATAAACATGATAAAGTGCGAGGTATAAAGCCAAGAACACGATTAATATTATTTTAATGAAAAAAAAATACAATTCTCCACTTTTATAGAATTCTGCAAGACAAAGATTGATCCAAATAATAAATGAACAACAAATCAAACAAAATAGTGTTTTATTGAATTCTCAAGGAGAGACTAAGACAACACCCAATTTAAATATTTATATATTTATTTTTTATTTGAATATTTTCCAATGGCCTAAGGGAAATCGCATTGAATAATTTTAGTTCATCCATTTTAATGTATGTTGAAAAATTTAGAGAGCTCGCGGGAAAGGTGAGGGAGCAAGAGATGCAGAGAAGAGAGGAGAATTCAAGCTGATCTCTTGAATCTGCCCCACCTTAGTGAGCACACACTCGCACCCGACACACATACACACAATGATACAACCGTAATTCGCGCTCATTGTCTGATGCCGCTCTTCTTCTTCTGCCAGCTAGAAAACCTGTTTTCAAGCCACTACAAAATTGTGTGTGTGACTTCAACTAACGCTAAAAATTTCTAATTCTACAACTATGTTTCTTACAGAATCTGTTTCATTTAATAAACTTACCTTTAAGTGTTACTGTAACGGTGCTGGCGAGGCAATAACAAGCCAGATTCTGGCAAAAAGCGCTCAAAAACCCAAAACTCAGGTAAAAGAGAGAGCCGCGATGCGACACAGAGAGTGAGAGAGAGGGGGGAGAGAAAACTCGATTACGAAGTTTTGGCTTCGTGGTAAATACACACGCACACACACAGACACGCACTCATACACACATGAACAACAACAAAAAAGTGGCTTTAATTTGGATTTGAGTTTTTGAGCGCTATTTCGGTCCTATTGGTTGTGCAGTTAATTTCAATTTTGTTGCCTGCCGCTTCTGTTTTTTATATATTTTATTTCGTCGGCGTCCTATGCTTCGCTCTTTCCCTTCTGTTGTCATCGAGAGATTCGCACTCTAAGCCATTTTGCCAGTTTTCAGTGCAATACAACAATTAACTTCGGCCGCATTCAATGCAAATGCAAACAAAATGAACAAAAAAAAAAACGACAACGCTAACTAAAGTAATGCAATTTTGTTTTGTTTTTCTTTTTTATTTCTATTATTCTTATTTATGTCTGTGTGACAGCTGCCAATTTGAAACACACACCCGAACGCACGCAAATAGCCACCAGAAAAAAATAGCGACAGCCAAGTAAATAACGAAGTAAATAAGACAATTTTCAACACGACGCTGTTCAGCTCTTGTATTTTTGTTAACTTTTAATTCTGATTCTCCACCCGGCTCACTAACACACACAGCGACGAACGGGCGTCGGAACGCGCGGTGTCAAAAAAAGAGGATATACCAACACGGGGAACAACCAGCGCGGGTGAAAAAAATTTACGAATAACGAATAAATAAAGGAGAAGCAGAAGAAGCAAAGGAGCGATAGCGCTATCGATACCACCGATACTTGGGCTGTTTCGATTTTCGATTTTTGGCACTATCGCGATACATCGCAAATTGTTTCAGTCAAGGGAATCCCCAAATTGATTTTCTCACACAAACCATATTAATATTTTGTACGTTATAATAAATTTTCGAGATTTGCGCTACAATAAAATAAAAACACAAAACTAAAAAACCATAATTAAAATATCGATATATCGATAGCACTTTGGAGGCAGAACAAAGTGACCAGCTCTCGCGGTGCAGAACTTACGGGCACACTTCACTTTTCGCGCGAATTTCGTTCAATGCAAATTTAAGTTTTGTAAATAAATCATAATTCGCACGCGGCATGCCTCCGAAACGCACTAAAAAAGCAGCTGTAAGTAAAGTGTGTTTGACCTTCTACTGGCTTTTATTATATTTAAAGACTTGTAGGCGCCAGCAGCTCAGGATGGTCCAGCTGAAGAGGTGGATCCCTCGCAACCGGCGCTGTCCGTGGAGCACTGCAAATCCTGACGCGTCTTTCGTCGCCGGGCGGAGGAGCTGCATGCCGCTCTCCAGGAGAGAGGGCTTCGGCAGCTCCAGCTCCGGCTGAACGCAACCGGAGCTCCGCGCCGCGGTGCCTTCGAAGTGAGTCTGATTGGGGCTAGGAATGGGAAGGAGGAAGAGAAACCGGTGCTGCTTTGGTCTGGTCTAAAGCGAGGGCCACCGCGTGCTCTCAAGTTTCCTAACGCCGAGGAGATGTACACAAAGATTGTGGGGATTCTGGGCGGAGAGCAGTCCAAGGAGCCGTCGGAAGGAGCACCTGTGGCCGAAGTCACGGAGAAAAAGGTAGGGTAAATGGCAAAGTAAATTCAAGATAAGTAAAACCCCCCTTTAAGGAGACGGAAAACAAGGAAGCTACAGGCAATTCGCAAAGTAATCCAGAGGATAACGAGGACGGGCTTGAGGAGCAGCCACAGCCTCAAGGCAGCCAGAAACGCAAGCGTTCCGCCAGAGCCCCGGAGAAGTCCGCCAAGCGCGCAAAAAAGTAATTGTTATTTCAGATAAGGAATAAACTCGCCAGCAATAGAGCCCCATGATCGATGATCGGCAAATCCCCACTGGGAACTGATCGTTGTGAAAACCCCCTTTTTGCCTTTGCTGGCTGGGTTATCCTTTTGCGAAAAACAAACACATTTACACACCAATTGTTATTACAAAATATATTAAAACGTCTTAGAAACCTATTTCCGTTTTGTTTTCTAGTAAATTTTCTTTTCTAATCTTTTTTTTCTATTTTGCTTTTATTAAAATTTTGTGGACTTTGATTTCACGAAATGTACACAATTTTTGCTTTGATCTTGGTTTTATTAGTAGCTTTTCGCTCTCTTTTTTTTCATTTTGGTTGTTAAAATTTGTTTGTTTTTTTCAGCTCAGCTTAACTTACGAATTATTACGATCCTAGAGAAAAAATTTTGGTTTTACGAAAGTGTTTTGTTAGCTTCTTCTATATGCTAGAGATACCCTACCACGCACTTGCCTAAATTAGATTACAATTTGTTGAATTGTTTCGATTGTTTTTAACTAAAATTTGGATACACATATAATCATAAAAATAATATAATTGAATAAAGGGGGAGGGGGACCTCGTATATATATCTTCTTTTTTTTTTCTTGCGCAGCGTCAGACAGAAACCGAGAGATTGCGATTAGGTGGAATGCCAGAGCCCGTAAGAGGGTCCTGGCTCTTAAGTAGAGTCGCTAATATAATGCATATAAATATGTTTATATATATGTATATATATATATGCCTGTACACTCATATATATATATAATATAATTGTTATGTTATGACCAACGGTAGCTTTTCTAAAGTGAACTTTTCCATAGGGTTTTTGAGATTTTAAATATAATCTATTGTGATAAATTAGGATTATTTCTTGGTTTTCATAAAAAATATTTAGAAAATCGTCAAATAAAATTTTAAACGGACTTCCTATATATAAAATCTTGAAATCTCCAAATAAATATGAAAAAGCTAAAATAAAAATTAAAAAGAATATAAAAAAGTTCACTTTAGAAAATTTGACGTTCATCTTATATGGTTAAAAAAAAAAAACAACAATCAATTGGCTATGGGTGCGTAAAGTTAAGAGTGACAAAAACATGGAAAATGTGCATGGGCCAAGGCCAAAGACCTTACAATAACAAGATGAGTAACGCCATACACTTTTGTTGCACTTAAATTTTTCGGAATGGCCCTCTGGAAATGTATGGGCATTATGCATCTTGCTATTACAAGGTCTTTGCCAAGGCCTAGTCCTGTTTCTGCGCCTCTGGTCCACAATTCTATATAATTTTCACACTTTTCACTTTGTTTTTTAAAGGAGAGAAGGGTCGTAAGGCCAACAGTAATCAACTAAAGCTTAGAAACTAGCTTTAAATTAGGCGCGAAACGTACAGAGGCGAGAAAACAATGCGAAAACAAAGGTTTTTTTTGGGGTCCAATTAGGTTGCTGTTCGCCCGAGCGGTTACAGATACTTGCGATAGTTGCGCAGATGGGCGTTCGCGTCTTCGACCACGCCCACCGCAGCAGCGGCGCTTTCGAAGGATGGAGGCTCAATGACCATGCCGGGACTCGGCGGATCACCGCCGGCAGCTCCCTTGGCTCGCCGCCTGCCTCGTGTTCCCGCACCCCGGGATCGCCGGCTGCTGGCCGAAGATCCGGCGGTTCCTCCGCCTGCTGCTCCACCAGCTCCTACTCCTCCCACGCCTGCTGATCCCGAACTTCCTGCCCCTGCGCCGGGGCCCAAGCTGCTGCTGAGGATGCCGCCACCACCGCCAGTGAGCGAAGCTCCATTGCTGCCCGGGACACTCTCGCCGGACTCGATGGCCTCAAGCGAGGCGTCCAGCGCCGCATCTGTCGTTGTGATGCGCGACCTGGCCGCGGCACTGCGTCTGCGTGAGCTGGAACCACCACCTCCGCCGCCGCCACCGCCAGCACCACCACCACCGCCGCCGCCACCGCCGCCAGAGTCGCCTCCACGTTTGCCCGGCCGCTTTTTGCGCCGCTTCTTGTTGCCGTACCGCGGATCGTAGTCATATTCATCGTCTGCCGGCGACTTGGGCTCCTCCAGAGAGTCCACATCGTTCATGTCCATGTCATCGTAAAACCACTCCTTGGGCAGATGCTCCTCCTTGACGGTCTGCTGCTGCTGCTGCTGCTGATGATGCTGTTGCTGCTGGCTGTCTTTGCTGTCGGAGGTATCACCGCCGGCGGCGCCCAGTGAGCTGGACTCCTCCAGGCTAAAGGCCCCATTGAAGTCGTGGGCAGTGTCGCTATGCAGCGAACCGAGAACCGCCGGCGCTGCTCCGCCGCCGGTTAGCATGTTGAGCGTCAGCGATGAGCTCATGCCCAGGCTGTTGCTGTTGGGCATGGATACTCCGCCGGCGCTGGTCAGGTTGCTCAGGCCCAGGTTGACACCGCTGGCCACCAGAGCCTCGTGCTCCTTGCGCAGCGCCTGAAATGGTCGTTCGGGAAATCGACTATCGAAGTCATGAGAAATAGATAAAATAGGATTATTATATGGTTATAAATACTATAACAAGAAAGGAAGCTAACTATGGTAGCTATAAAAATATATATACGATATGGTATCAGTAACCTAAGAAGTACTTTGTGCTCTGAACATACAGATTTGCATCCGGTTGAGTTGGAATTTTTGGATAAGTGATTGTAAACTCAACTGGGAATTTGGGTAACTCCTTAAACCTACGGATTTTGAATCCAGCATCTGCTTAATGATTAGAGCTATCTTTTCCAATATTCAGATGCAAGGCAACGCTACTTTTGATCCTAAACACGGCCTTATGGCCTAGGAATATCATGAAACCAACCATATTTAACCATCATTACGAGGAAACATATCATGGAAGCCTAGGAAAGGCGCTAAATGAGTCGTCTTCTGTTTATTCTAACAGTTTCAAGCTCAATTCCAGGTAATGCCTGGCTCTAAGCATTTGGAAAAGCCTTAAGCACTCAGTAAGAACACCCCTGGGACATCTTTAAAGCGAAGTAGAGGAACCTCATCGCTCACCTGTACATCTTGCTCAAGTACTGGCGGCGACTCTTGCGCCATCGGGCCGCTGGATACGTGTAGATCTGACCTTGACGGAAGCCGGGCATTCGCTGACGCTTGTCCAGAAACAGCTGCGAGTGGCTCTGCGCTACGCCCGTCTGCGGATCGAGAAAGGGTAGACGCAGCCGCCGCTCGATGCACAGGCGGGTGTTGAAGTTGGCGCTGTACTCGATAGTCTCCCGGTAGCTGACGTCCTTCAGGAAGCTCTCGATCTTGGCCAGGTTCGGCATGGAGACGATCTGGATGTTGACGGCGGACGACATGGTGGTGGATTCTGTTGGTGGTCCTACTGCTGCTGCTGCTGCTGCAAGTGGCTGCTAACCTCGGCCGGCGCTAGTCCATCCCGCAGAGCGCTGCGACTTCCTCCTGCTCCCCGTCCGCGGATCGGATCACTCGCTTTCCGAGTTTATTTTTTTTTCAGTGTGTCCGCCTCTCGGATTTCTTATCTCTCTTTTCGCTCCCTGTTTTTTTTTCTTTCCTCTTGCTCCGCTTTTTCTTCACACACTCTCGCACACACGCACACACACGGTTCTCGCTGGCAAGGTGGGGGCGTGGCGGTAGCTGCGCCAGCGGCTGAGGGCGTGGCGGGGGGCGGAATGGAGGCGGCAGCGCGATCTCCTGCCGGAATTTCCAATTGTTTAATTGCCAATTGTTTAATGTTAACGTCGATTGCGCTGCGTTTCCAGTGTGACCGCGTCGATGGTGATCAATAATACCGTCAGAGCCATCGAAAAATACCAAGATAATATTTTTTTAGTGTGGTTCGGTATATACCAAAAATAATTAAAATATACTCTTCCAGATGCCACATAGTTTATTCCGGCAGTGTGGCAGCCTTGCCGAATTTGAATGTGTGGATTTTCGAAATTAGATTAGGATACAAATTTACATTACTTATTATTATTTTTTATGGCTTTATCTACAAATCCATTGTTTGGTACAGATATCGTGAAAAATTTAAAATTAAGAAACTTTATTATAAGTTTAAAACGTCCCAAAACAACCCACAATATCAACACACATTTAGCGCTATTTTAAATAAAAAAAGCAAAGCAAACAAAATTTATGGGATTGCCTTTAAAGTGCAGTTTAATTTATGTTTTTAAATTTATAAAGTATTATTTACAACACTAGTTTTCAAAATATTAGCGAGTTTCATGGCTATCAGCTTTTAGGCGCGGTTCCGCCAATCGTTATCGGTGGCTGTCAATCGAATAGGCGGGCCATTTGAGTTTGTAAAATAACGTGTTTTTGTTTTAACAAGCGCTTAAATTCGACTGATAAACAGGCAATTGAAAAGTTCCACAATTAATTGTGGGCACCGACTAGTCGACTAGCATTCCTCTTCTCTCCTTCTTATCGCCGTTAAAAGTTTCTTGGCCAACAATGGATATTATTTTTGCATCATCCGCTGAGATAGGGAATGCCCCTTCTCGTGCTGCCGTTGCTCTTAAACGTAAAGTTAAGTAGAGTTAAGTAAAGTGGGCCAGGAGCGGGCGCCATGGTGGTGCGTTAAGTAAAGTTAAGTACGATAATCTCAAGTTTGCAATTGCACTGGCAATTTGTTTGTTATCTCCGCCTCCACCGTCGCCTTCGTCCTTCTCCTACGCCCTATTCGGGCTCTTGCGGAAAACATTTTCCCCGAGTATGAGCTATTTGCATAAGCGCACTGGGGAAAAGTTCAAAAGAAGTTGGCCATAAATGTAATCACAATAAAAAATATAACAAATATATTTTTAGAATTTATTCATACACATATTTCGACTAAATATACGGGTTTATTCCGAAAAGTACTTTAAAATAACTAGAAATATGGCAAGGAGATAATCGAGCAAACTAGGTTAATTTTCTTCAAGTGCAGATAGATCGCTTGGTGGTAGGTCCTAGGGATAGTCCGATATGAGTGCAAATTGCGATGGCTTCCATTTGGCATGCACTCATTTGGGTTATCTGCTCGGCCACTTAATAAACTTAATGACTCTCGAAGCCTTTGGCTGCGCGCAAGATTTTGCAGCTCGGTAAATGGCCTAAAAGAGCTCCGCTTTTGCCAGTTCCGCTGATGGAGGAAGTGGTCGCTTTGCCACTTGCCACTTGTCCTCCGCTTCGGCCGCGTTCCTTTGACAGCGGCGTTGTCCTTGGCAGCCGTCGTCCTGAAATGAAATGAATAGAATCGCGAAATACACGCGTAAGCGCTTCAAAGGTTTTGGATCAACTGCATCAAAGTTATAATTACTTGAGGCTACATTCAAAAGCTAACATGTTCGGTTGACTGACTCACCGGGGTCACACTGCCCGAAAAAATATGGGAAAAAAACGGGGTTTGAAGAGTATATTTAATAATAATAATAATAATAAAATAATAATACCAAAATATGAATAGTAAAATAATAATTAATAAAATAATAATACTAATAAATGATATATAAATAAATGATAATATAAATCAAAAGATAAATTGAAATGAAATTATATGATTGTAGTTAAATTTCATATAATATAAATTTCAATTTATTAAACGGTATTATATTTTCGATAAATAATAAGTAATGAGTGTAATGTTATATATTATGTTTGACTTTCTCCTACATTTCTAATGTTTCTTTGTGTGGAAAGGGAACTATTAGCAGATCAAGTACGATCAGCTTCAAATTATTTACAAACAACCTCTCACTTTGTCTCCTGACAAACAGAATTGGGTGTCAGACTTGTTAGTAGTTTTGATTTAAAACCAACTTCACCTATATATATTTGAAGCAATGATATATCTTTTGCAAACAAATATTCATTTGCTTGTAGTTGGCACTTGGTTTTATTTTGCGTGCATTATACACACAGAGGACATGCCTCTGTGTGCAAGGATAATCAGATTAACCGCTGACCATTCCGGCTTCTTTTCTTCCGCCTCTGCTCCTTTTTCCAGAAACTCGCTTTTGCTGCCTCTTCCGTTCTCATTTGGCTATGGAGGCAGCTTCTGCTCCTGCTTCTACTCTTGCTCCTGCTGCTGCTCCTGCTTCTGCTCCTCCTCCTACTCCTGCTCCTCCACCTGCTGCTGCTCCTGTCCCATGTATTAATAAAGGGTCCTCGCTACAAGTTTCACTTTGCGGATTATTTTGATTTGGTGCATGTGCCGCCGTTTCTGTGTGGGTGTCTCGTGCTGCTCCCAGGAATCGTGCTTTCGGAGCATTCGTTTTTCATGTCCCGCAGCCCCCGGAGAACTGTGCGAAATTATTGTGGTATGAGGGACGAATGTAAAATATTTTATTGCCCTGTTGTTCGCCGAGATTGAGGTGGTGGTGGCGGCCTCGAAGGAGCAGAGGGAGCAGCAGCAGGCCACCAGTTGACGCCTCAAAAGAGGTACAGTGGGTGTGGGACCAAAGGGAATTAAGTATATTAAATACAAATGGCCTTTAAAATGTATTGATTTTAAAAGATATGTAAATCAAGTTAATAATATATCATTAAAGACTCTTTGAGTTTTTAGTTGATTAATTTTATTTTATTAACATTATTCCCAATGGAATGTAATTTGTATTACCATATTCTCATAATTTATATAGTATATTGTTGATCAGCAAGTCAATCTAGCCAAGTCCGTCTGTCCATTTGTTCGTCCGTAAGCGATAAAAGGTATAAATTCACAGCGCTGTACTTCTTCAGTTTCCTTGAAAGTTACATTAAAATATACAAGGGACTTTCCCTTAATAAAAATTTTATCGAAGCCATCGCCTTGTATTTAAGATGACTGATTACTTTCAATTACTTTCAAAATGAATGCTCAATTTTGATTGATAAATACCGCCTGCCGGCCACTGTGCGTCGGACAGGAGACGGAGATGGCGCATCGCATCGGTTGTGAGGACTAACCACTTGCATGTAGTTTGTTGTGGCTTACCAGTGGCGGAGCGGAAGGGGGCTCATCTCGTCACAGGTTCATCTCGGATCTCAGATTCGGCTACAGGTCCAGGGCACATGTTGTGCAACTTGTACGAATGCCGCAACATTTTATTATGGTTAAGCATGCATTCATTACGTCGCCGTCCAGTACGTGCTCCAAAAATAGTAATACTAATTTAATTAAATGTGGGATACTGGCACAAAGCACAAATACTAATTTCACTTAATTACTTATTCTTTAGTTTAAAATATGGCATTTTATTGTAATGAAAAAGGCAACTGCCAATGCTAATTCAATTTAATTAATTTATTAAGAGACAAAACAAAAGTACAGTCTGGTAATATTTTAAATGGAAATTTGGGAGAGATACTCAGTCGATATATCTTAGATAAATCGATATTCTTTTTATTCTATTTATTTTTTAAAAAGTTTAAAAAGAAATTAGCTATGTAGCAACATTATTTCTCTATTCCGTAATAAATATTTTTATTCTTTATAAAACTGATTATTTTTACTTTTAATGCGATATTTTGCGATATTTATATGATATTTTCGATACGATATATACAATCGTCTTTTTAACTTTCTGATATTTGTGCGATAATAGTCGGAAAAGAGAAAAAATAATTCAAAATTCCGATGTTTTTCGATAATTTTCGATATTTTGAAGATGAGTGTAATATTCCTGTATTTGCTGCATAAAAATATACAATATTTTCGCTTTTATATTTTTGTCTTTAAATTTTCTAGAACTTTTCTTTTGTATACCATATAAATTCATATATATTTACATTTCGTTTATACATCGAAGCTGTTCCATGTGCGATCACATCGATTCGATCCAGAGTTAAAATTGAGCGTCTTTCTCAGACAATATCCAGCAGGACATGTTCGAAATCCAAGGAGTGAGAAGGCCTTTGGGTTCAATTGGGCGTGGAGGACGTGACGAGCGAGACTCGTCCAACTCATTTGGTGCCCGACTAATCGCAAATAACACACATCGATTAAACGGCACGGCATTCCCCCCGAAAGGAATGAGCGCAGGATGGCAGAAAGAAAGAAGGAAGCGTGCACGAAAGGAGCCTGGCTAAGGATACGGCTGGAGTAGCAGAAGCAGAGGCAGCAGAAATAGCAGCAGAAACAGAAACAATTAGCACGGAACAGGACATAATTGGCGTGCAGTTACGGAGGCTGATTAAAGAAGCAATCATAAAATTAAGACCCATAATCCCGTGCAATTTGGACAAACACACACACACACATACAGGCAACCGGAACGGAATGGCAAGGAGGAGGAGGTGAAGGATGTGGACTGGCGTGGAGGGCATGAAGCCCAGTGGAAGCTAATAATAACCAAGCCAAACCAAACCGAAAGCAAAGCAAAGCATCGGGAAAACAACAACGAAGGCATCAGGACACAAAACAAGAAAGAACGAAAAAGGACAGTTCGAGAGAAGGCCCCGACTGCTAGATACCCTATATTTCTCCTAAAGAAATCAAGAAAATATAATATGATTTATAAATTCATTTAGATTAAAATACAGTTTTCATATTGGATATTTATAGTATTCTAGTTCTGCGATATATGGAATGCACATACCCTAAGCACTTACAGGGTACCAGCACCAAATACAAAACGAATGTGTGTTGGTGCCAGAGGCGAGTGCCGAAAGGGGATTTGAGGGTCCCAAAACCCCCACACTGCCAAGAGTCCAAGTTCAACGTGGAAATCGGAGACGTCTTTTATTTTGTGGAGTTAATTATAAGTAATCAACAATATTCTTATTACTTAATATTTTTTAACATATG